TTAGTGCTAAAAGGAAGTTCCAGACACCTAAGGAATGGAATTAAAATGATTGTTTCGCACAGCTATATTTTACTGATTTATATTCATTCTCTGGTAATCCATGACAAAATAGCTTTATATAAGACTTACCGTTTTTCAACACAGCTGCCTCGTTCTCTAAAACATTTAATTCAGTCTTGACTTTTTTTTTAATCAGAAGAGCTCTGTTACTTGTTAGTCCATACTCATTGTTAAACTCTGTTACTTCTCTAGTAAAACTATCTTCCTCTTCACTCATTTTTCTCTTTGCATCTGTCTGAAAAAAAAGAAAGGGAAAATTGAAATTTCAGGTGAAAAAAAGAAAATATTTGTTAAGCTAGGCAGACTGAAACACACTGTTGTTATTTATCCTGAAACTTGTAGTATAAATGTAGTATATTTACTTTTCCTGACCTATGAGAATGAGAAAATGGTCTACAGCTCTACCATTTTGTCAGTGTTTTAACCTGTTTGGTTTGTTTTTTTCTGAAAATGTGAAGGATATATTTTTAATAATAAAACATTTAACACCCCACCACATTGTTAGAGACTTGTGCTAGCAGTTTTTCAGTTCAACTCTTTATTGAAATTAGTAGAAAGTTCTGTTTAAATTCAACGGCATATTATGTCCGCTCTTCTTTTTGAATTGTTATTAAATGAAGTAACGGGGTTGTTTATGCCTCTGCAGTATGCAGGCTTACTTTAACTCCCTCAATAACTGCCAAGAAAGTTATAGTTGGTAGGAAGTCACTGTTTCATTTTCTGGAAAAATTATTCTAAAGAGAAAGGCAATATTAAATTCCTTTACAAAAATCTTAACTGATTTTTAAATTAAATAAAATTAAATGACCCCTATATACAGGAAAAAAAGAAACTATAACCTATATATCAAACGTGACTGGCTAAAATTAAAAGAAACTTCACACTTCTTCAAAGGGTATTTAGCATTTCTCGCTAAATAATTTTTCCATTATACATATAATATTTATTTTTCTTTCTTTGTATACTTAGGATTGGGAATACTTTGGATGCTGAAGAAATATTACTTAATTAAAAGGATATCTGCCTAAAGATTTAGGGTTAATACTGGTGATTCATACTGAATGTTTAAAATTTAGCTCTGCTGATTTAAAGTACAAATACATATGCAGAGAAGAATACTCATCTGTGGCATTTCTTGATACCTACAGATCCAAGGATTCACAATGAAGTGAGAGGAAGACAATACTCAGATTAGCACATGAGAGAACTGAAAAGCTTGTGGTCTGTATATGTTGCGAGCAGCTACCTTTTAAGTGGTGGCTTGGTGTGTCTAGCATCAAAGGGATTGTGTGGTATGTCAGAATTCCTAAAATGTGGTGTTGGTCTCCCTGAGTTTTTTCCTTTGATCCTTCTCAATATGTTTGTTGTGGATGAGACAGACCAATTTCAGGTGAGACTTTCCTAATTTTCTTTTACAAAGGAAATAATACGTTCACTCATACAACAGCAGACATTAGAAAATGAAGTTAAGAATGTTAAATCAGCTTTGTAGATAAACTGAAGCATACATTACCTTAGGTCATGGTTTAAATTAAAAGTGAGAATTTGTCTACATTTACATTGTTAAGTATGCTAGAGTAAAAAATAACTTTTTTATTTTCCAAATTTAAAACATGACTTCTTCCACAATTTCAAATTTTAAAGCTGACTACTCCTATACAGTAGAAAAGAGCTGTCTGAATACCATAGATGGAAACATACAAAGATTTTTAGAAGACTGCCTTTTTGATTAATAAGTTCAGCTTTCTGTTTTTCTAAGCTGTCTTCACGTTTCTTCAGAATTTGTACGTAGAACTGTTTTTCAGACAGATGCTGAACCTTCCAAGAGAAAAAAAAAAAAAGATTATAAAGTAAGGTTATTGTTCTATTGTTACATATACTTTGATATTGTACATAAGGATCTTGGTGCAGTTAAAACACAGCTGTCATAGCTGCTGGACTAGCAAAAGCATAATAGTTCTTTTTTCCTCCAATAATATTCCAATATACCACTAAGCTTTTGAAAAGTATTCTTTCTTTAAAAGACACATTTAGTGCAGGTCCATTTAAAATGGCATTTTAAAGTCTGCTCAGTTTAGAAGAAATTTTTTTCAGGTTAAAACCAGAAAAAATATTGATCACATGGAATCTTTTATGCAATATAATAGTGTTCTCCATGTAATTGTGTAAAGTTCATCACAAATCAGACAATAATATCAGAGGGGCAGGGGTCCAACATAATTGTTTTGACTGAATGGCTGTACACATCATCAACTCTACAATGCTACTATTGCATATGCCAAGGAAGGAGGGATATGATCACATTTTCCTGAGCACAATTTCTGGAATTCTTAGCCAAGGAAGTGTAATGGAAAATAGCTCATTGGCTAAAGAAAGTTTGACCATAACCACCTAAGCCCCAAGCTTGTGTTTTGCCTCTAGTTTTATTCTTAGTTTTATAAATTTTAAACAGTAGTTTATCTGATAGAAGGGTATGCTGTTCAACTATTGAATTTTCAAAATTTGTGAATTCTTCTCAATTTTCCAGCACATCTACTGTATCATTTTCTAACCTAAGTTAAAATATATGGTGGGATAAACTATAACAGCAGATAAATATGGAACAGCTGAGCGTTGAAGAGTCTTAAAGGATGAGAATCATTCATCTGATGAAGTGGAGAAAAAGAGGTCAAGAGAATGACTCAGACTGTAATACTCAGAACAGTGAGTATGGAAAGTAAAGTTAGCAGAATTGCCCACAGACTGTAAAGGCACAGGGTAGGTATCAGGAAGTAAACTGAATAGTCAGGCTGACACATGACTGTGTGTGCACAAGCAGAAAAGACCAAATGATAGTGATATTACAGAGGTAAAAATGAATAGATGTAGATGAAATAATGTAGATGATATTGGAGAGAGTGCAGATGAAGCGAATCTGATCACAAAAGGAGGAGCATAGTGGAATCAAATGCCCTAAGACTAGAATGTGAGAGTTGGAAAGGAAAGGACCAGATTTTTTCCTTATCCCTGATATGTCCAGCACGCCAAGTGTCCAGGAAGTGCTGGCCTCAGGAATATTTATTTTACATATTAATTAAAAAAGCGTAGATGGTCTCATACCACTGAGTTTATGTTACTGAACATAGCTGGCTGCAGTGGTTTCTCCATCTGCAAGATGTCAACTTAATCTATGCATTTGCAACAGATTTTTTTTTAAGAAATCATTGAGCTGTGAAAAGCAAAATGCTATAATTTGGGTTCTAATTACATGCTACCTGATTTTACAGAACAGAGGAAAAAAATAGCATTTCTTAGGAATCCTTGATTGACCACAGGCAGCCTCTGTGAAATAGATGTCAAAACACTTTTGAACTCGGTCTCATCTGCTTGGTCAGGCGTAACATGCTGTGCATGCACGTGCTTGGATATGTATGTTTATAAAGAAGTGCAGTTATTTGGTGCAGGGCAAACTGAACAGCATTAGCTGAACAGCATTATTTAATATCATTTGAATTACTTAACTATTATAGGCATAAGTAAACTTAATTCCTGTACTGAAAAATAAATTACTTTAAAAAATTTCAATAACTATATAATCTTTAAACCTAAATACAGTCTGATTGAAATGCATTTCTTTATCATTTCCTATCTATAAATGAATCAATGTCAGACTAGGCAAGCAAGTAAAATGTATTTTTGTGGACATCAGGACATTATTAATCCTGGTGGGTAAAGCACATAAGATTTAATTATGAATAGTTCTTCAGCTCTTCCCATTAGTCATTTACAGTAATGGCACTACTCTTGGGACCTTCTGTACCTACCACATAAACCTTGATTATAAATCACAATGCATCAATAACAAATTAGTAGTATAAACATAAAATTACAATGTTCATAAATAAATTTATAAGCAAGACTACAAAGGACTTCACCTAACAAGCAGCACCCAGATACAATCTCTTTTCGCTAAGTAAGTTGTTATTTTAAAACACTTTGGGGCTCAGAGATTGTGGGGCACGCATAAACGCAAGCACACAAATAGCTCTTTGCATGATTATAGTCTCAATTTTCAGCCAGTAAAGATTTGTAAATGAGTTCTCTTTTATTCTGACCCCCTCACAGTAATGTTGACATTTATTATATATATTACATAGTCTTTTACAAAAGGCAGAAAAGCCTTTATTTGGAAGGATGAAAATCATCCCCCAAACGTTTATTTTCACAACTAGGTGAGGCAATCCCCCAAGGGTTCTTGAAGATGTTTGTTTAAGTTATAGAATACAACAGTTCTGACTTCAAAGGAGGCTCCATATGCTTTCCTGTTGTGCATACACATTCTGCCAGCGCAAATACTTAAGAGCACAGGGGATGATATTTAGACTTCATTTTCAGGCACAAGCAAATGGATTATTAAATCGTTTGTAACCAGAGATATTAATGGTGAAAAGCTCTGCAAAACTGGAAGCTAAAGCTGAAAACATTTCTGCCGTTTGGTTAAATGGAAAGCATAACAAAATCTTAAAAACACTAAACAGATTCAGGAACTTTCTTCTGTCTTCAGTGTCCCTAGAAAAACTCCCAGGCTTTGTAAGCCCTAACAGTGAGCCCATGCTCACAGGAAGATCTTTAACACATGACTCAAGACCCTGTGAAGTAAACACAGGGAATGTTTCCATATATTTTTGGTGAAAGGCCTTTAATGAAGAGCAGTGGGCAACAGAGGAATGGTTTCTGGGCCTCTGAAGGGAAGTGCCATCACAAGCTCCAGGACTGTGATGAGAGGGCCGCTCACACCATACCCGAACAGCTACTGTGCCCCAGCCGACGTCTGGTGGATGAGTCTTGTGAATGGACTGACCTGGCGTGGTCCCTGCCGAGCTCTGGCTGCAGAGCAGGAGTCACTTTCATGTGCACATGTGCTCTCTCCAGTGCTTCCACATTTTGGAAGCGTTATCTTGGAATGTTTCTACCACGGAGGTGAGTGCGTCCCTGAACACAGCCAGGGGCCAGCCTGAAGGGTGAGATTTGTGAGAGGGAAAAGACATTGACAGACCTTTTTTCACTACAGAAATGTACAGTGTAAGTATTCTCAATGCTGTGTTATTTGGTTGGTGAAGCATACTCCTTGGAAGTGTTTATGAATCTACTCCTGTAAGAACAGGTCATATATTTGCAATAGAATGTATTTCATTATCATGTATACTATAAACATGCCTGCTTACCGTCGTTTCTAATTTTATTTTTGCAGTGCTCAGCTCTTCTTTTATTTGGTTAATTTTTTCATAACTTCTATTTATGTCGAATCTAGCTGCAACAAAACAAAAACCTGTAAGAATGTTTGTAAAAGTTACATTCTTATAAAAACACGCCATTGGCAAGAAGCAGTGAGCCCGGCTGCCTGCTGAGCTTTCACTGACAAACTTCCCCTTGTGACAGCACTGTGGGGCTGCCCTGCTTTCCCCCCTGGGAAATGGAGAGGCCATTAAGTGTGGTCAGTGCTGCTGCTGCACCCACAAGATGGCAGCCATGGGGCAGACCTTGTTGGATGAGGTGCCTCTTCTCCCTCGCCTGCTTCTCTGTGAACTCGATTTGCTGGAACAAAGCATCGAGGTTCATTTCAAGCTTCTTGTGGAGCCTGTGGGCTCTCCCGGTCTTGCAGTAGTTGTGGAGGGCTGGTTGATTAAAGCGGGGATGCCCTGGAGGAAGGTAAAGGACCGGGTGGTTAAAGTGGGGGTGCCCTGGAGGAAGGTGAGGCTGGGCCAGGCCACAGCCCTTCCCTCAGGACTCTGCACCCTGCCAGGCCTTGGCTCTGCCCTCCGGCCTCTGCCTCCCCGGGGGTCAGGCAAGAAACCCCAGACCACAGAGGGAAGTGACGGCACGTGGCTGAGGAGGAAGAGGTGACAGTGGGACGTCTGGGCTGCAGAAGGTGGGGGAGCAAGGGTGGACCTCGGGCAGAGGGGTTAGCTGGCTGGGGGAGCCCACATGGGAAAGATGGGAGGTGGAAACGAGCAGGCAGAGAAGCAGCACAGTAGGAGCAGGAGAAAGAAAATACTTGACAAGGCAAGAGGTAGGTGATGCTCTGAATCTTGTCAAACTTGTGCACATTTGTGAAACATTGGTTATGACTCCAGGTCTGGGGAAATTTGAACAAACAGCTCTGACATTCTGTATTTCTCTGGGACCATGCGCTTTATACTGATTTTGTGCTGTTCATGAGCTAGGTTTTTTACCCCTTCCCTTTTCAATGGAGTGATCACCATCCTTTTAAATTATTATATCTGCTTAGATTAATTTTTCTTTTGAAGACTGGTGCCTAATCTTCGTGGTTAAGGAAGTAGGCTAAAATCCACTATCATACAGAAGATGGTAAAGCTGACTGTATAAAACTTAAGTAACAGTGATCAGACTCAACTCAGCTGCATTTCACCATTAATGTAAAATGACAGTATTTCTGTTTCAGAATGTGAAACGACAGTGTTTCTGTTCCAGTTGGTCTCAGGAAGCAAATATTGTAATGTAACCCGTTGTACGCTCTTGTGTATGACTTTACTATGCTCTAAGCTTCTGCAGCTTTCTGTTTTGTATGTTATTGGATAGTATACCTGAAAATGTATATACTCAGTTGAAAATATAATTCATATTACAGGGTTTGTTCCTACATCTTGAAAAGGATGAACTGCATTCCCCAAAAGGAGTACCTATGTGGAGTTGGCCTATTTGCTTTGAGTCAGAAAAAGTCTGGAGGAATGGAACTTCGTACCGTTCCAGGCTTTCAAACATTGGAAAAGATCAGGACTATTGACAGTCCTGTCTTCTTAAAGTGTTTTCCTCAGAAGAGATACCCTCTTAGAATAGACCGCACGAGCAAAGATCAAAAATTAGAAAGAGAAAATCTTTGACTGCAAACAGCAAAACAATACACTTGAGAGTATAAATGTCTTATTAGTAAAAAAAGTTTCTAAGTTAGCAGAATGAAACTGAGAATTCTGGGAAAAATGTTATAGAATTTACTACTTAAAAAGCACCATGTTATAGCTGATAGTGTGCTATGAAATGGCGGTTTTTAAAGAACAGACATTGCTTTATCTAAGAAAGAAAATGTGGGTCTTGACGAAATTTTAAAACCTGAAACTAGCACATTACGTTGCAGGAAATGCAATTATTTTTTAAAATGGAACAAAGTGCGACTAAGGGAGAAGACTTCACAAAGCGAATTTAGAAAATGTTTCAGAAGTGAAGCTTCCTATCCAAAGGCCAAAGGAAAAGCAGATGAGTCAAACGGGAACATTTGATGATTGAGACAGTGATTTGTTACACAGGTCTGATGAGTGAAAAAGTCATTTTGCAAAATTCAAGAAAATGAACTGCTCTATCAGTGGATCAAGGAGAAAATAAAATGAAAAGCTTTCTTTGAAGTTTTTGAGACTTGACTGCTTTTGTGTTTCAAACTGAGAAAGCTGCTGTAGGCTGGGAGAGAGTTCAGCGTTACTTATTAAAGAAACAAAAGTGTTTTGTGGAGGGTGCTTCAGTGCCTCTAATTATGGCAAAGGAGCTGCTCTCCCTAGAAAGACGAGTCTGGCTCCAACTGTACTTCTCACTGTCTGAGAATGACCATTCAACACGATTAGCAGTTCTGTAAAAGATTCCTTCAGAGACTGAAAAAATTCAAAGTGGGACAAGTATTTGACATTAAGCTTCATAGATTTTGACTCCTGCAGCTCTTTGCCATGTGCTGGACTTCTGCATGGTGAATAACTCACTGTAGCAACTCAGGATTGTTTGTATAAAGTGAACCACACATGTGAAACATGTACAAATGCTTTCAGAATCAGGATCAAGGTGGTAACTTCAAAGGGGTGTAGCTGGTTGCCTGGGTCCCATGGAAATGGATGAGATGGTATGAACCTAAATGCTTCAGAAGTAAAATGTGAATTACCTTTGCTCTACTCCTTTTGCAAAGTATAAGATCTTTTGTAAATCGCTAGCTATTAGAAAGGTGACTTTAATTTTATTCTGTCGGTCGTATCAGTACATCCTAATCTTAATCTATATCTATCTCTTAATCACTCTGCTGTAATCAGGTCATGTCTTTCTAGTGCACTTCAAAATTAGTAATTGCCCTTTGTAATCAGGCTGCTGTGCTAATAGTAAAGTTTCTTCTGCAAGTTTCTTCTCTAGTTTGTGTAGGAAGAAGAAAAGAAAGATTTTGTTTGTAATTTCCAGTGACCATAAAAATATTTACTGACGTAATTTATTTCTAAATCATATATGCTCAGATTGTTTCAGAAATTGTTTTTCTGAAAGCTAACAATGAAAAAGGCAAAAGCAAAGAAGCGTCAGGGTAAAAATTAGATGATGCAATATGGTCTTGACCATAAAAAATATGTAGTAGAAGCCAGAAATTATTGGATTATAGTTACAAACCAATTTTCTCTTTTGTTCTTAAGCACTGTTAGTATTGTTTTTTCCATATACAAACTATACTGCTTACTTTTGAAATGCTGTATTTATAGCAAACCTTCTTCCCAAACTACCTCTCTTTGGTCTTCCTTTGCTCTTGGTGGTCTTTGTATTTGCCATCTATTTTTACACTAACTTTTTTCTACTCTACATGAAGGAACAAAGCCAAATTATTCAAATTATTCTGTATAACAAATTCACAGCTATCATTTCGTGTTCAGGGCTGAAGTGTGAGCTAACCTTTACTGGGAAATAGCATATATGTATATATAAGGAAAGAAAGAGCACTAACCACTTGGAACACAGTGTTGAGCAGCAATGCTGATGGAGAGAGACCATAAATAGTGAGAAACACAGCAACTATTTGGCATAAGTAAGCATAAAAAATACCAGAATTATTCCAGATTAATTTTATAACGTGGCTTTTAAAATCAAAGCTTTAGTTCTACTGTTTAAAACTTCATTGTTAAAATAGAGCAAGCAGTGAAATGTGGTAACATGTAATACAGTGGTTTTAATGCAAATCAAGAACATTTTGTATGGTTGTTCTCCCCTCCTGCTGGCCACCCATTGCACCTCAGAGAGCATGGAGCTGTTCTGCCTCTTCCATTGCCTGTCTCCTGTCCAGGCTGGGTGGGATGGGGGGAGCACAAGAACACCAGAACAAGCACTTGGCGGTCTCTTCTCGGACATAAATTTGAGTTCCTAGTAATAAAAAAACCCACAACCAATTCAACTACTTCTGAAAACCTAGAGGGTGTCAGAGAAGAGGAATACTAAAATGCAGTAATAACCTATAATTTATGACCTATCTCTAACTCTCTGAGGAACTCAGGTTAAACACAGTCTAGTTATCTTATCTGGAAGAGTAAGAGCAAACTGCTAACCTACAGGCTGGAAGCTCTCCCTTTTTAGTAGACTGCTCAGCACGGGACTCATAAATGGACACCTTGTGTCCTCCTTGTAACAGGGAGGAAATAAACTACAAAAATTAATATAATAAAACATAAAAAAAAGGAAAACGTAGAAATAAATCCCTGGCAAATTATATGCAAATAAACGCAGAATGTTTCTCTGTGCCCCAAATCCCTATTTGTCTGTTTTTTCAGGTGACAAAGTTGAGCGTCAGTGAAAAGCCCTGTGTGTTTATAACATATCAAAAACCACTAAGAAATAACTTTGTACTCCCCCTAGCATGTCTGGCTGCAATGGAGAATTAGCCACACTCTTTTCCACTTCGGTAGGAATGTAAACAACTTCACAACAGATGTTCTTTATAAGGACAGAGCCTGCTATTTGCATTGTGATATCTCCTTTTGAGTCTTATACCCAAGATTTTGTTTAATTCCATCTGGAAAGGCTTCATTGGATCCCTTTGGGTTACAAAAGCAAAGATTATTCTTTTATGTCTTTAAATCTAAGTTTTCTATTATCGTTGATTATAATCATGCAGCACCTGCTTTCTTTGCTGACTGGTAACTGTGCTGTTATATAGGTATCCACGTTGTCCCTCTGTAGTGGTTTGGAGTCTTAAATACATTTCAGTTGTCTCTTTTCCTGGATCTGAGAGTCTATCCTAAAACATTTTTACTCTGCTATTCTGTAGTATTTGGATAAGTGACAAATGAGGCTCTCATTTTGAAACATTTATCGGAGCTCTTATTTATCTTGGCATAAGGGTAGTAACTTTCCTAATGGAGAAAGAATTTTTCAGATCTGGTGTGCATAGCACAGTACAAAATACTGCCTTGGCTTTGCATTGTCACAGTAAAGATTCTTAATTATTTGGCTGGAAAGCAGCAGCTTGCTTTACATCAATACTGGTTATCACTAAGTTGGCGCACAGTGGAAGATACAACAGAAACAGTGAAAAAATACTTTTTAGATTTTAATTGTTTGTATCCTCCATTTATAAAAGAGATTGGCTTTTTTATTTTGTATTAGCAGAAATGAAAATTACTTATTTGTTATGCTGCAATGTCCTATACGAAGACGGGTGCCGTTAATTCTTCTGAATAAAAGGCTGTTAGAGAAACATTTTGAGGACTGGCACTGTCATGCAAGAGATGTAATCCTGGATTGAAATGCATTAAACAACCTGTTGAAAATTCGTCATTTTAATCAATTAAGTATGGTATGTTTCCTATAACCATATT